ATTCATTTTATAAAGCTAGTATTATTCCTACACCATCCCTCTCAAAATGAAAGAAAGTATTAAAAGACAAACTTTAGACAAATTTAATTCAATGGAGTTTCACAGAGCAAAGAACAATTCGAGAATCAGGCAGCTCCCCAGAACTAGAATAGATTTGGGGACACTCCAACGCTGCCACTTAGCTGAAGATAATTTATGAACAGAGAAAGGAAAGCAGCTTAGCGAAAACAGAAGTGAGGTATAGAAACAGCTTCCTTGGCTGTAGTTCACAATAAGGGAGAGACTCAAATAGCTAGAAGGATATTGAGTGTTCTCAACACAAAGAAATGATAAATGTTTGAAGAAGACAGATATGCTAGTTACCCTGATCTGATCACTATATATTATATGTATCAAAACATCCCTATGTACCCCATAAATATTATACAATTATGTGTTAATTTTAAAATGCAATTTTAAAAAATATTTTGAAAATTAAAAGGGTTTAAAAAGAAGAAAAAAGAAAAGAAATAGCTGCCTTGGCTACAGCTCAACACTCACCTTGTTTGAATACCGTTGGAACAGCTGGCCGCCTGCGAGTGGTTGAAGTTTTGCTTCTGTGATTGGCTGAGACTCAGATACCTGTTACAAAAGCAGGCTATCTGTTTCCACTTTCAGTTAGGTTATATAGTTCACTAGGTATTGAAAAACATTTAGGTCAAACTTAAAAGTATATAAGGAGGTAGCTTTAGGCTAGATTATTTTAACAAAAGATTAATTTAACAAAAGAAAGAGAAAAATAAAACTATACACCAAGGTTCTTTGTAAAGATAGACCACCCCCAATTTTTTAAAACTTTTTTAGACAGGATCTTCCCCTGTCACCCAGGCTGGAGTGCGGTGGCTCATCACAGCTCACTGTAACTTTGAAATCTTGAGCTCAAGTTACCCTTTTCCCTTAGCCTCTCAAATAAGTAGGACTACAGGTAGGCATCACCATGCCCAGGCCCCCAAAACCTTTAACAAAATATAGCAATATTTTAAAATAATTATACACTATGACTAAGTGGGGTTTATTTCAGGAATGCAAATCTCATTCAATATTTTGAAAATCAATCAATGGAATCTACCATATTAGCAGTCTAAAGAGAAAACACTTATGATCATATCATTGATAACAAAAAAGCATTTAATAAAACTCAATATCTGTTCATGACAAAAAAAAAAAGACTCTCAGAAAAATAGGAATAGAATAAAACTTCCTCAGTTTGATAAAGAGCATCTAAAATAAACTCCTATAGCTAATATCATAGTTAATGATGAAAGACTAGATGTTATCTTTCTAGGTGTGATGAACTATAAATGATCATGGATTATTAAAATAAAGATATTTTACAACTATAATTGATTCCTAATGTCAAGTCGTACACACACAAAAACATGAGGGGGGCCAGATGTGGTGGCTCACGCCTGTAATCCCAGCACTTTGGGAGCCTGAGGCAGGCAGATCATGAGGTCAAGAGATCAAGACCATCCTGGCCAACATGGTGAACTCTGTCTCTACTAAAAATACAAAAATTAGCCGGGCATGGTGGCACGCGCCTGTGGTCCCAGCTACTTGGGAGGCTGAGGCGGAAGAATCGCTTGAACCCAGGAGGTAGAGGTTGCAGTGAGCTGAGATTGTGCCACTACACCCCAGCCAGGCGACAGAGCAAGATTCCATCTAAAAAAAACCATGACGGGACTTCAAAAAGTTTGTGAAAAATAAAATTAAAAGGCAAAATAAAAATGTACACTTCATATCCTAACATAAACACCATCAAGTTCAAGATACTTTTGTAGGTGATGATACAGTCATTAAGTTCATTCCTAAAGAACTGAGTGTCCTGGGACCCTAATCATATCAATGCAGTCTTTCTTTAATAAATAAAAACAGGTGCTCTTTAAAAATTTTTTAAGATCAGGAAACAAAAAGAAGTCAGAGGAGCCAAATCAGGACTGTACAGCAGACGCCTAAAGATTTTCCGTCAAAATGCTCACAAGAGTGCCTTTGTTTGATGAGAGGAATGAGCAGGAACACTACCTGGAGAAAGACTCTCTGGTGAAGATTTCCCAGGTATTTTCTCCTGAAGCTATTGCTAACTTTCTCAAAATACGCTCATATTAAGCAGATGTTATTGTTCTCTGGCCCTCCAGAAAGTCCATAAGTAAAATGCCTTGAGCATCTCCAAAAAACTGTTGCCATGGTTCTCTGCTTTTGACCAGTGCACTTTTGCTTTGTCTGGACCACTTGATCTCTTGATAACCATTTCTTTTGTTGTTCCTTGTCTTCAGGATTGTACTGGTAAGGCCTCGTTTCATCTCCTGTTACAATTCTTCAAAGAAATGTTTAACGATCCTGATCCCACTCGTTTAAAATTTCTATTGAAAGATCTGCTCTTGTCTGCAGCCAACCTGGGGGCAATAGTTTTGGCACCTATCAAGTAGTGGAAAGTTTGTTCAACTTTAGTTTCTTGGTTAAAATTGTGTCAGCTGAACCAGTTGAGATATCTATGGTGTTGGCTATTGTTTTGACGGCTAATCCTTGATCCTCTTCAATTAGGGCATTGTCTTATCCATCTTAGTGTCTCAAACTAGATTCTGTCCAGACAGGCTATAACAAGTTGGTAAGAGTTTATGTGGGTTCAAAACAATATCTGAACTACATGCCTAGTTTTTTTCGTAACATGCATTTTCCACAAACTTTTTAAAGGCCCCTTTTGTGTGTGTATATGTGTGTGTGTATTCACTTCTTGCAAATGAATCAGACTACATACAAACCTTCTTACATGTCTTAAGATATTTTTATTCTTCTGTAATACTCTGTTGTGTTTAACATGGAAGATACAAGAAGACCAGATACAAAATTAGGCTGGGCATAGGCAGGTAGCAGTCAGTTTCCTTCTGCCTTTTATTGATTCATCTTTCAAACAGCTCATCTAACATTTGCTAATAGCTTTCTTATCTAGTTTAGATTTTTTCACCTGGGAATTTCTGGCTTAGCTGGTCAGATGCTATATTTTCCCTGTACTTTCAATATCCCTTTAAAGCATTACTCTTCACTTTTTGATTCATGCCTACCCTGACTATGAGAAAGTTTCCTGAGTTTTGATACTTTCCACTCCTATGACTAGAAGTAAAATAGCCCAATAAAATTTTAAATTACCTTTTCTTCAATTTGACTTTTGTTTCTCTTCCAGAATATTCTACCCTCATTTTCTCCCTTCCCTTTTTTCACACTGAGACACACTTACATTGCCTGTTATTGTGCCACCTCTATGTCACATAGGACATGTTGTGGAACAGGCATTTTCTTTTGAGTCAGCCCAACTGAATTTTGAATACTGGTTTCCCCTCTAACTAGATATGTAATCTAGGGCAAATAGTTTAAATTCCGTAAGTCCTGTCATTTGTAAAATGGTAATAATAACGGCCTGTGATGGACTTAATTGAGGTATCCTTAACTCGATTTCTTTTTGTTCTTCTAATTCTGAAACTCGACATTTTAATAAGTGGTGTTGTTTGGGTTGATTAGTAGCAGTCCCCAATTAAGGGAGAGGCTGACTGGGCATTTCAGAGGTCAAGCTGTGCAAGGAGACCTGAAAGAACAAAGCTCAGAGGTCCCTTGGGCCTGGTGCTTTTAGAGGCCTGAAGAACAGATCTTACAATTTTGCTTTGTATTTACAACTATGTTGGGAGAAAGGTAAAGGTAGAGGGATGGAAAATTCTAATGATGGGAAAAAGAACAGCTGTAAGGCGAGGGAGGGGGAAGTAAGTTCTAAAACATAAAAAGGTCATATGATATTTATGAAAAAATTGATTATTTCAAAAAGATTCTCAATCTCATTCTCTAACACATAATCTTTTTTTATTTTCCCACATCCTATATCTTGGATCTTGACAGACTCAGTTCATTGTTTTATGTGGTTTGCAATCTCAACAAAACAAAATTTGTGTTCTTTGACAAGATTAATGTATAATACTAACTTCAGTATTCCCTTTTAGTCAGAACCGACCCCTTTAATTTTATTTTCCATATTAACTATTTATGATCAAAATAAGTCTAGCTTGTTTGTCCTAGTGCTTCATAATTTTAGTTATAGAAACGATCCAGACTAAATTAATTTAGCATGTGTCTTCTTGACTCTAGTACATTGAATCTGGCCAGAAAAACTACATCTGCTCTCTACATAGGTAACATAAATCCATCATTAGCCAAATTGCTGCATCCCTTTGGACTGGATCTCATTAGCAGATATTGGAGTGGCCATTGGCCGGCACAGGTTGCTTTAGGCCAGCAGGGGGCAGGTTAGCTCTAGGGCACCCGCCCGAGCCGCAGGGGGGCGTGGCTTGTTTCCTTGACTGACAGCTGAGGATTCGGGCGAGGATGAGGTAATAGCCCGGGCAATAAAGACGTGGGGGTGTGTGCGCGTGTGTGCGACTGTGAGTGTGCTAGTGCGTGTGCAAGGCCCGAGACAATGCGTGTCTCCAGCTCGCGCTGCGGGCACTGATCATGCTGCATTAAGAAAAAAAAAAAAAGAGAGAGAGAGAGAATTACATTCTGGGGAAGGAGGCTGCAAAGTTGCAGCTGGGCGACAGTAGCGGTCCCAGCGCCGTGTCATGGCGGGTCGTTTCTCTGCATCAAGCAACCAGGGAAACCCACGCGGGCGCGGGTTTGCCTTAGCGCCCCGCTTGGGAGGGGGAGGTTCATTCTGGAAGGGACTGAGCAGAGCCGCAGGGAGGGGGAGCTCTGCCCGCGGCGGCGACTGCAATTCGTGCGGCGAAGGGGTGGGGAGGGAGGGAGAGAGGGGAGGGGAGCAGAGCGTGCCATTCGGAGCGCGGCCGTGCGGCGAGATCCCACCCCGGCGTCTGCAGAGCCCGAGGCGCAACTGGTGCTAGGGCTGGGTCCTCGCCTCTCCGTCAGCCCCAGCTCGCGGCCGCCGGGGCTTGGGCCGCGCGCCCGCCGGGTGGCTTTTGCAAGGCGGGGGCCTGATTGCAGAGAGCGGGGCAGTTGCATGAAGCGACTCGACCCCACGGAGCAGCGGCAGCAGCGGCGAACCCAGGCGGCGGCGGCGGCGGCGGCGGCGGCGGCGGCTGCGGCGCGCGGTCCGAGCCAGGCGGCCCCGGTGTCCCGGCCCCGGTGGATGCACGGCTGGGGAGGAGCCCATGGGCCGGAGCTGAGGCTGCCTGGGGCGGCGGGGCGCGGGGCAGGGGGCGCGGTCGAGGCCCGGAGGCGGCGGCGCAGGAGGAAGCGGAGGAGGTCGGGCGCTCGGGGCCCGGGAGGCGGGCCGCGCAGCGCCGCAGCCCCGGGCTCGCCATGCTCCTGGCCTCGGCCGTGGTGGTCTGGGAATGGCTGAACGAGCACGGCCGCTGGCGTCCCTACAGCCCCGCCGTGAGCCACCACATCGAGGCGGTGGTCCGCGCTGGCCCCCGCGCGGGGGGCAGCGTGGTGCTGGGCCAGGTGGACAGCCGTCTCGCGCCCTACATCATCGACCTGCAGTCCATGAACCAGTTCCGCCAAGACACGGGTGAGCCGGCCGCCCCGTCCCCGCCCCGTCCGCTCCCACCACCTCCCCAACCTGCCAAGGTACCTCCCGCCCTGGGAACCCACCTTGGCCACCTAGTCGGCGCCTCCGTGCAGAAGTGTCACCGAGAGGTGGTGGTGACAGGCGCGTCTGTCACTCCCCTGGATCCTTGCAGGATCCTCCCTCCCCCCCAAACATCCATGCAAGTAGTATCAGTGTTCCTGTGTTGCAAACCCACCTTCAACCTACTCGCTAAGAATCCCCTCCCCATCTTCTTTCACGCCCCCACTTTTCGGCGCTTGGTGGCCCTAAGTCTTTCAGTGTAGAAATTCTAGGGCCGCCCCCAGCCTACAGGCAATCGCAGCCCCTCGCAAAGGCTTCCTGCCCTCATCCCCTGACGGCCGGCACCGTAGCTGACCTGACCCTGCTTTGCCTCAGGCACGCTGGGGCTTGCCACACATCCCCTCAACCCTGATCTCACTGCCTCTGCGTCTCCTGTGTGGGATTCCTCCCCACAGCTGGGTCCTGGGTGTGGGAACTGGGGGAGGAAGAAGGGATTCCCCGGAGGCTGTCGCTACAGTTGGGTAAGGAAGCGCCGGGCTCCCTGTGAGGAGAGACTGGAGCTGGGGGACCCTGGACGCCGTGGCTTTGGCGAATGCCTCTGCTACACGCTCCAAACACGGAAGCAACAGGCCGGAGCAGATGGAGAGAGGAGGGGGAGGTTTGGGGCTTCGGAATGCCTGGCAGGGAAGCCGCTCCCTTTGTCTGCTGAGGAGGAGGGGGCAGATTCCTAAGGAGAAACTGTCCCCAAGGCTTCCTCTTGAAACCGTAGCCTGTAAGGAACCCTTAGCCTCCCGGAGCGCCAAGCTCCTGTCTTTTCCTGAGAATCAAGTTGCCACTGTAGCCAGCACAAGCCCGCTTCCCAGCTGACCTGCCTTTCCAGGTCAGAGCCGGGAAGGGAGCCTGCAGGATGGGGACATAGGGGGCGGGGGGGTGGGGGAGGCTGCCCGAGGGAGGAGGACGGCAGAACTGCCCCTTTGCTCGGTCCTTGCTTAACTAGTGAATGTGAAGAGTTTCTGTCTCCTTCAGTGACAGGTGGGGAGGGGGCCATTGTTTCTGGAATTCTGGCTGAGCTTTCCCTAGAGTGTAACCGAGGAGCCTGGAGAGGCCGGTGTGCTGGGGCGGAAGTAGAAAAGACGACTGGGAGAGGCCCTCCCCAGCAAACAGCTGTTTGAACAGGGTTTCTCCGCTTCCTTGGAAAGCCCCCACATCCTGTGTGCTGATTAAAATTGTCATGGGAAAGGGGTATCTTTCCACCCTCATGTCCCCATCTTTAGTCATAACTCCCTTGAGCAACCCCTTTGCCAAGTACTCTGCAGACACTAATTGAGGAGAGCTTTCTGGGGACAGGATTTCTGGAAGTGTTCGAATTTGCAGGGTCTTAAACCGTGCAGGGAAGGGAGAGAGGTGGAGCTGGGGGAGACTGGGAGGAGGAGAGAATAGAGAGGAATGTGGGGAGAGTGAGAAAGAGGATTAAGTGTGGCTGAGGGGGAGGGAGAGAATGTCATTGTGCAACTTGAGTAGTTGTTGTGGAGGTGAGGGTGGAGGCAGCAGGTTAGCAGAGGGATGTGTGTTGTGGGGAGCTGAGCCATGGAGGTGGGACCAGAGATAGAGACCAGCAGTTAAAGCATCTGCCAGGGGATTCCAGTCCTCAAAAAAAACAAAACAAACAAAACAAAAAAAAAAAAACAGGTGTTAGCTTTTCTATTTCAGACTAAATCTCTGCAGCATTTGGAGAACCACCCTTGTGGTAGAAAGGTCTCAGCCCCTTTCCCACATTTGGGAAGAGCAAAGGTGGAATTTGTGTTTGGGGGTACTTAGAATGGGCAAGGTTTCTACAAAGATTCATGATCCTTTCTACTGAAGTGAAATTATAGAGAAAACTGGGCGGAAGGAAAGAAGCCACGTGTCCCAGGTCTCATCACTGTCACCTGAGGACAGGTTGAATACCTCCTGATGGTGAGCAGTTTAGTGAGAGGATGACACTCCCTGGACTTCAAACCGCAGTCAGAGAACTTGCCCTGGATCATTTTAAAGGCTGCCTGAGGGTGTGTTTTACATCAGACTGCTTTGGTTTCATCCACTTATTGCTAGAGTCAGTCAGTCGGTCATCCATCCTGAGTACCTCTGTCCTGTGCGCCAGGCCCTGTGCTGGGTGCTGGAGGCACTGGGCTGCATTCCCAGAAAAGCTGGGTCTGTCCAGGCACTTGTCAAAGTAGAATAGAAGAATCTCTGGGTTTCTGAGCTCTGAGCCCCCTCCTCTCCCTTCTCCACCAATGCACACATAGTTTCTCTCAGTCTCATTGATGAGGCCATGACAGGGTAGGAACTTTCAACCAGTGGCTCCCAGGCAACCTCAGCCAAGCCCTTGCAATGTTTAATTAAATTACCCACCATCCTTAAGCCATAATTCAAAGCTGGGAACCAGAAACATCCCCATAAACAAAAGAGAGCTGGAAGTCCCCTGCCCAGAGGCGATTCCTCTCCTTTTTTGTTGCCTTCTCTCTATGGGGACATTTCCTGATGTGAGAGCTTTGTCTTTTTAGAAGTTGCTTGCTGGCTGCTTTGAGAGTCCTTAGTCTCTCCACTGGCCTGGGCTCCTGACCTCATCCAGCCTGTCTCCAGGGAGATGGCTGGGAGGTTGCAGACACCCATCTGCCCGCCTCTGTTTGCCCTGGGTCCTTCTCCTTCCCCAGACTGCCTAGGGTTCTGAGCTTATTTGCATTCTATGCCAGTCTCTTCTAGGCACTTTGGGCTAGAGAAATTGGAAGAAGGTAAGAGATGGGGTGAGATAGATGGGACTGGCTCTTGGCCACTTCCAAAAGCCTTGGTGGGGTCCTCTCCACCTGCTGTCATTTACCCTGACTGGGTTGCCCTTTTTCTGTTATAGGGCAGTAACTGAAGAGCTTTACTGCAACATCGCTTTCCCCTGTACCTTTCAGCATGCCTGACCCTACCATCTCCAGGGCTTCCGTAGCCAGGATGGGGAAGATCCAGGCTGAGAGTGGGGAGAAACAGCTGTGACTCTCATTCCAGGCTCACTGCTTACTCCATGACCTTGAGCAAGTCCCTAAATGGTCAGGCCTCATTTATTTTTTTCTGTAGAATGAAGAGCAGCCTTAAGATTTCTCCTTTCCCTCTTTTTCTTGCCTCCTGTCAAGCGGATCAACAGGTGAATGGGCTGGCCCCCATGCCAGTGATGATACTGATAAGCACAGGGTGAGGGAGAGTTCTTTCCAGCTCAGATTTTTCTGTGCAAGTTTTGCCTTCTTTATGTCTTAAAAGTGGTGAGAAGTGTCAGATGGAGGGAAAGAGAGTGAGTTGAATTAAATGATTTGACAGGCCGGGCGCAGTGGCTCACGCCTGTAATCCCAGCACTTCGGGAGGCTGAGGCAGGTGGATCACAAGGTCAGGAGATTGAGGTCAACTGACCAACATAATGAAACCCCATCTCTACTAAAAATACAAAAATTAGCCGGGTGTAGTGGTGTGCGCCTGTATACCCAGCTACTTGGGAGGCTGAGACAGGAGAATCGCTTGAACCAAGAGGCAGAGGTTGCAGTGAGCCGAGATCATGCCACTGCACTCCAGCCTGGGCTATAGAGCGGCACTCTGTCTCAAAAAATAAATAAATAAATACAAATAAGTGATTTGACAGAAGCCGAGTGTTAGCCCCCTGCAACACCCTCTACCCTATGTTGGCATAGGAGTGGAGGAGGCAGGCATCATGGTGACCACATGATACTTACCATGCACAGGATGCACCATGCGTCTGCGTCACACCAAGCACATTGCACACACTATCTTGTTTAATCCTCCTTAAACAATCTTGTGAAGAACCTATTATTATCCCCATTTTGTAAGGAAACAAGTTGAAAGAGATTAAGTTGCCAAGGGTTTACAGCTGTCAATGGCAGGGCTGAGATTCCGAATTAGGTGGCCTATGTCCTATTTCTTCATTCAGTGAATACTGATGGAGCAACCATTTAGCGCAGGCACTGTTCCAGACATGTGGGATATAGCAATAATAGAGCCTCCAAATGTTTCTTTGTCCTCGTGAAATATTCTGGTGGGCGTGGGGGATGCTGGTGAGAGTGGCCTGGGATTTCTTGGACACAGTGCATGCTCTAACAGCAGTGAGTCACTTACATAGATGTGTGTAACATGCCCTAGAGACCTCGGTGCATGCCTGGAAGGCATTGCCTTCCACTTCCCAGAAGCTGAAAGATTTTAGGCGCTTTGTGAGGCAGGTGGAAAATCTGCAAAAAACTGATTTTCTTTCTCCTTCTTCATCCTTAGATTATGAATATCCTCAGTCCCTATCCTACTGGAGTTCATTTCCTTGGGTTACTTCACAGATTATCTGGTTTATAATCCTGATTCTAGACAAGCTAAGAAGTAGCACATCCAAAATAGGGTGGTCTTTGAAAATAATCAGAGAATAAAATCCCACCGTGTCTGTTGTCTCAGCACTTTGGTTCTGAGATCTGTGTATTCTCTCTGACTGTCCTCTAGGGTTGGACTCAACCACATCCCCTCTAAAACTAGCTCTGCCTCTTGACATCCCTCTGACCCATTTTACCGTGTTCCCAGGGTCTAAGCCCAGGATTCTTTGACTCATTCTGTCATTTTGAGTCTTACTTGGGCACCTAATATGTACAGGCATATAGATCCTGCAGCCCAACAGCTGAAACTTGAGTCTTCCTGTGCACCACTCAAGGTGGTCATTCACATGCAGATTCCTGTGCCCAGGCCCTGGAAATGCTGGCCCGTAGGTCTCAAGGGCATTGATGACTCAATTCATACCCCAGGAGATTCTGAAGGAGGCAATCTTCACACCTCACTTGGAAATCATTCAGCTCCTCATGGTCAAGTCTTAGCCATGGTTTTCTCTGTAGGGTCTCTCCAGTTTGTCACCTTCTTTTCATTTTCCCTGCCAACACATTTCCACTCACCTGGAACTAAGGGACAGAGTAGCTCTGGTCTTGTCCCTCTTTTCTTAACAAACTTTACTAGCTCTTCATTGATTACAAATTAAATCTATCATGGCTTGGCATTTCAGACCTTCCAGGCCCTCCCTGGCTCTAACATACCTTTCCAGGATTGTCTTCTCCTATGCCTTATATTTCCCTCCAATCTGCCAAACAGAGGCCACTTCTGTCCTCATGCATTCCTTTAGAGTTCTCTGACACCCTTCACCCCCCAACTAGTCTTAAGGTCCTTTCCTATAAAACGCTGTCCTTTGCCATTTCTACCTGTCGAAATTCTTTTTATTATTCGAGTCCATGCCATTTGTTATTCATTTCTTAAAATGTTCTCCACACCTTGAAATGTTTTGCAAACAAACTATCATTACTTCATTTATTCAATCAATATTTTTGAGTGCCTAGCACATGCTGGCATGGAGAGTACAGCAGTGAGCACACACCTTGATGCCCACTCTCATGGGATTGGGAGTCTACTGAAAGGGACAGATATTCATCAAATTAGCCACACAAATACATATGTAACTGCACATTGAGATGAGTGCTATTAAATTTTTTTTTTAAGGAACAAGAATTTAACCTGGCCAGGACTGCCTTCCTTCTTCCTTGAAGAAATGAGCCCTCCTCTAGGAAGATCTGTGAAAAAGATGTCAGAGAGTTTTAGGGAGGAAGCGGCATTGTGAAGAGGTCCAGAATCAGAGAAGCCTGGCAATGGGCAGAGATTGAATGCCAGCGTAGCTGAAATGTGGGCAGAGTTGGGCTCTGAGGGGGGCCACGTATATTGGTGGGTCGGGGGCATTTAGATTTCAACCTAAGTAGAAGTCATGCAAGGGATTTACGCAGGGAGGGGACGTGGTCAATTTTCCTGCCAACATGCATTTTGTTGGCGTCCTCTTTGTAATGTGTTCTGCCTCATAAAGAGTCATTTGCACATTTGTCTTCTAACCCTGTTTTAGACTAAAAGCTACTTGAGGAATGCTTGAATCTGCATTCCACATAGCAGTTAATGGGTTCTCAGTGATACATGATAAATGATTAAACATTAAAGTGGCCAGAAGTCTTCAGTCACAGCACAGTTTCTGGAGCCCTCGCAACTTCCAGGCATTGGGCACTAAGAATGCAAAGAGCTCCACGGCAGCATGTCTGCCCCCACTTAAGGCAGGATGGTATAAAAAGTGTTGCTGAAACATCGGTGCACATCAGCATAGTCAAGCTACACACCTCAGGCTTCCTGAGGGTGGGGCCTTGGCTGCGAGAACATTTTAAGAAATGGATGGAAAATGGAGTAAGACCTGAATGGTAAGGAGAATTTCAACAGGTAAAAATGGCAAAGAAGGCCATTTCAGTAGAGGGAACATAGCAAATTGTGGGGGAGGGAGCCAGGGAACTCTGAGGGAATGTGTGAGGATAAAGGGGACCTCCATTTGGCAGGAATAGAAGAAAACACAGAGATTGAGGAAGATACACCTGGAAAGGTATATTATAGACCCATAGCATAGTTTCCAGAAGTAGTTCTGGGGCCACTCTCAGGCATCTCCAGGACTGATAACACTATTGTGTAATATATATATATATATATCTCCCTCTCAGATGCACCTAAAATATAAAATATATATATATTATATATGTATAAGTATATATGTGTATATACTTATACATATATATATACTTATATAATATATATGCATATATATTTTAGGCACATCTGTGAGGGAGTTAAGTGCACTGTCCCTGACACCCTGGAGAGAATATAAAATAGTGCCATTTAAACTCTCTATACTTAATTTCCTCATTTGTGAAAGGTATTTCTAGGATTGCTATGAAATTACACGGGACATGTGAGGTGCTTTGTAAGTAATAAATATTGTACAAATACCAGTTATGAGAGCAGGAGAAGGCAGCCAAATGCTTGGAAAGATAGGGGCAGGTCCCCAGTGAAACCCCACCTTCAAGCCCATACCAGCCTGAAGGCTTAAAGACTGGACTGCTGGACTGGGATGAAACCCACAACCCAGAGTGAGAACTTCTGTTCCTGTTTCTCCACCCTTTCCCAGTTGATTCTTTCTGAATAATGCCTTTTAACCAGTCAAATGTTGCCTTTTCTAGTACCACCTACAGCCTGCCCCTCCCCTATTCTGAGCCTATGAAGGCCCCGGACTCAGCCACATTGCAGAGACTTTCCCAACTTTGTATAGGGGGACCACCTCTGAGTCCCCTCTCTGCTGAAAGCTGTTCCATCACTCAGTAAAACTCCCCACCTTGTTTGTTCTTTGATTGTCAACATATCCTCATTCTTCTTGGGTATGGGACAAGAACTTAGGAACTGGTGTACAGCTAAACTTGGCCCAGGTGGGCTGAGTGGGCAGGCCGTCTCCTGCAGCAGGTAGTTTGGTCGAGTGAGGCCCAGGCAGGGTGTTGCTGGCCAGAGGTCCCCGGCTTGCAAAGTGACTGAGCAGAAAATCTTGTCAGTTATATAGAAACTTTCTCTCTGTCTCTCTTTCTTACACCCCCTAGCATCCTACATACACACACCCCAACACACACACACATCCCCTGAACTAAACCTTTCCATGGCTTCTCGATCCTGCTTAGACATATAATAGAAAATAAATTACAATAATAATCACCAATTTTCATTGAGCTTTTGCCATGGTGACAGGTGCTATTTTTGAGTTTTATGTTCATTTAATCCTCAAATCCACCCTTTGAAGTCTCTACCCAGGACCCGAACAGATGAGGAAACTGAGGCTTTCTCACACAGCTGAAAAGCACAGAACCACCCCTGTTGGCCCCAAAGCCCATATTCTTTGTTCCCCAGCAAGCTGGGCACTTAGGAAGGAAATGGAGGCAAACCAGGGAACTATCGCCTCCCCTTCTCCTGCCCCCGCATCCTGATACCCCAGGTCCCCCAGCAGAGGCCCTGGTGATGAATAGGGGATTGTTCTGCTTCTCCGTTGTGCCTCTGAATGTTGATGTTTTGGGCCATTAAGGGGCTTGGAGATGGGATGGGGGGCGGGTTATGACCCTGGCAAAGGCCTGAATAGCCATTGTTTCTTTTCTTCCCCCCTTGAATGGGATTCTGTCCCCAGTCTTGGTGTCTCCCTCTGGGTTGGAGGAGGGGTGGGTCAGAGGCCGGTGAAGGGAGTCTTTTCTCACCACTTTGATGGATAGAGCTTAAGCTGACAGATGCAGAGATTCCAGCATTCCAGGGGCCCTCCCCAGCCTCCCCACCCTGCCCTGAGCCAGGCATCTGTAGCCTTGATGTTGATACCATGAAATGAGCCCTGGTTGAGGATGGGTCAGGATTCGGGTTTTGAGAAAGGGAGAAAGAGGCAACAGTTAGAACCTCAGTTCCCTTGCAGTCCTGCCAGTTCATATCTGTCATACCATTACTCTGTAATAACCATGACCTCTTCCCGGCCCCAAAGTGAGACTGTCAAAACTAAGGCAATCCTATCCTTAGGAGGGTTTGAGCTTCTTGAAAGAAAGGCATCAGATAAATATAAAATGATTCTCATGACCATTAAGAATGTTACGTTTGCTGCTGATATAAGATTTAATCCTGGGAAACATGAGAGAGTTCTAACCTGATTTCCCTTCTTCTCATAGTAACACAGCATTTTTTTTTTGACAGCATTTATAAATGTATAGAGACCCAGCTTCCTCACACCCGCCTCTGGGCAGCCTTCCCACATGGAGAAAGAATCTTCCCTTAGTCCTCTAGGCTTCCACAGCCTTGTATTCTTTTCCTCATGACTCTTGGTGCAAGAGCATTTAGAGGGACAAGAGGGAATATGATCATTATGAGCACCACTGTGTGACAAGGGATTTACATGCCTTAGTGCATTTATAGAGTTCACGTGAAATCCAGAACCTGGCATGTACAAATACATATTTGTTGAATTAACAAGTGAGCTATATTTAATTTGTACAAAAACTCTAGGAAGGAGTTATCCTATTTCCCAGGAGGGAAGAGGAGGCTTAGAGGTTCTATGTCAGCTAGTAAATGGAATGAGTTTGGCTGCAAACCGAGGTGTTCCGACTACAAACCAGGAGGGAGTCGTTCTGCTAGCCTGCACTGCCACCCATATCCTTCATGTTGTAACTCATCTGCTTCTACTGTGGTTGGACTGTAGACATCTTAAAGGGAGAAATGAGTTTCATTCAAAGCTAGTACTTCAGGTAGCGTCATGCCCAGTACACATGTGACTTGCTAATGTCATGCCATTCAGTATAATTGCATGCTGACCCTGACCTCTCCTCTATCCCACCCTGGCAGGAACTCTCCGCCCAGTTCGCCGCAACTACTACGACCCCTCCTCGGCCCCTGGGAAGGGCGTGGTCTGGGAGTGGGAGAACGACAATGGCTCCTGGACGCCCTACGACATGGAAGTGGGCATCACCATCCAGCATGCCTATGAGAAGCAGCACCCCTGGATCGACCTCACTTCCATCGGCTTTAGCTACGTCATTGACTTCAACACCATGGGCCAGATCAACCGTCAGACCCAGCGCCAACGCCGAGTCCGCCGGCGCCTTGACCTCATCTACCCCATGGTTACGGGGACCTTGCCTAAGGCTCAGTCCTGGCCAGTCAGCCCTGGGCCAGCCACCTCACCCCCCACCCCACCCTGCTCCTGTCCCCAGTGTGTCTTGGTGATGAGTGTTAAAGCAGCCATGGTCAATGGCAGCACTGGACCCCTGCAGCCCCCAGTTACTCGCAAGAACATGGCTCCTCCTGGAGTGGTCAAGCTGCCCCCACCACCAGGCCCTGGGGCCAAGCCACTGTACAGCACAGACACCATTCAAGGCCCGATAAAGACCGCCCCATCCCAGATGATCCGGAGACAGGCCTCCAGCATGCCTAGTGGGACAACCGCAGGCTCTCCTGCCAGCCCCCCAGGACCCAACGGCAAGACTGGAAGGGTGGCCCTGGCCACCTTGAATCGTACCAACCTGCAGCGACTGGCCATTGCCCAGTCCCGGGTGCTGATCGCCTCTGGGTAGGTGCTTCCACAGCTGCCTCAGGCATTTACTCACTGCTGAGATAGGCTACAGCAGATCTGGATCAGAAGAAGGAGGGGCTGCCAAGACTTAAGCTTCTCCGCATCTTGCGTTGACCCCTGGCTGCAGGTGAAGGCAGCATGGGGTGGTAGACCAGGGAGGGTTAGATCCTTGGGCTCTGATCTGGACTCTGGTTGAGACTTTGCCCTTACTAGCCATATGATTTAGGACCAGATTCCTAACATCACAGAGTCCTAACTTGGTCATCTGTAAATTCTGGCAGTATTGCTCCTGTTCGGGGGGCTATAAGGCTTAAAGAAGATTGTGGTCAGGCGTGGTGGCTCACATCTGTAATACTAGCACTTTGGGAGGCTGAGGTTGGAGGACTGCATGAGCCCAGGAGGTCAAGGCTGCAGTGAGCTATGATCGTACCACTACACTTCAGCTTGGGTGACAGAATGAGACACTGTCCCTCCCAAAAAAAGATTCTGCCTACTAAGTGGTAATAGGCAACATTGATTGAACTCCCACTATATTGTAGTTTGGGGCTTTATCATCTCATTTAATTTTTACAAAAACTCTATGAAGTAAGCAAGTAGGCATTACCCCATTTACAGATAAAGAAAGTAGATGTTCACTTGCTTAAAGATATTTAGCTAATCATTGGCAGAAAGTGGGATTCAAACTTCAGGATATCTGACGCTAGACCCCAGATTCTGACTCTGCTGTGCTCCTCTTCCACCAAGTACCTACCACAATGCCCAACATTCAGTAGTTGCAAAACGAGAGTTAGTTTCTTTCCTCTAGTCTCTCTGGAAGCTGGAGAGGTGACTCCAGATTGGAATACTGGCCTGTTTCAGTGGTGACTTATTATTTGCCGGGTCCTTTCCATACATTGTCTCAGTTATTCCTGTGACAACCTGGTGATGCTGTAGGTCCTGTTTGTATTGCTTTTTATATTCTTGATCTTCCTGATCATAAAATCGAAGTGACCCAGATCCATGTGGTGGCTGCAACCTTTGCATGCCAGCCCCTGCTTTCTTAGCATCTCACAGCCACCCAATCTTCCCTTTCTGTCTCCAGAGAGGCCTGGCTCTGCCTGTGGCCCCTGAGCCCAGATGATCAGGGTGGTTTTCAATTGCATCGGGTACTTAAGTCTGAAAGTCCGGGCTCCTCTAAGAAGGTAGTTTTGATACTCAGCTGGGTCCCTGTACACAGAGATTTGACATTGGGAGGAGGGTTGAAGAAGGGTACACCACAGAGTGGGAGGAGTGCCGGGTTGGAAGTCCAGAGGCCCAGCCCCCACTCCTACCTCTGTCACTGGGGTGAGCCAGAGAATCTTTGCAAGATCCAGTGGCCGTACCTACCCCATGGAGTCATCGTGAACACCTCCACTCAGGGAGCTGGCCCCTTGGCATTGCATTCCCTTACCCTGTGATCTAAGTGTTAAGCACGGACATTCAGCTCAGAATTCATTTCCCCAGGAGGAAACAGAGCTTCTGTGTTATGCAGTAGGGGTTGGAACCCAGGTTTTGGTCTCCCGATTCACTGTTCTTTTGGCTAAAGCCCAGCTCCTCATTGTATGCAAAGTCAGTTTGTAAAAGGCAAAATGCTGGTGAGATGCATGAGATTTCCCCTGAGATGGCAGAAGTATTTGGGAGCGGGTAATACTTCTGGGGGAAGTCATGAAATGACTTAGCCGTGGCAAGGCTTAGCTATCAGTAGGTGCAAGACAAGAGTTAGTTTCTTTCCTCTAGTCTCTCTGGAAGCTGGAGAGGTGACTCCAGATTGGAATACCGCCCTGTTTTCAGTGATGACTTATTATTTGCCAGGTCCTTTCCATACATTGTCTCAGTTATTCCTGTGACAACCTGGTGATGCTGTAGGTCCTGTTTGTATTGCTTTTTATGTTCTGGATCTTCCCAATCATAAAATCAAAGTGACTCAGATCCATATGGTGGCTGCAACCTTTGCTAACACAAATAGCTAAGCCTTGCCACTGCTTAATTTCTCCCCACTGTCACACAGAACCATCCTGGGGGTGCCTAACAGAGTTCCAGGGTGATTGCTGGCATGGAGGAGGAAGGCTCCTTTGCGGGATAAGAGCACACCCTCCAGAAGTTAGGACTGTCTGGGGCTTGAACCCAAGTGCCTTGCTGTGTCCCTTGGGGAAAGATTTGCATCCTGTCTTCAGTTTCCTCATCTGTAAGATGGGATAGTAATAGTAACTTCCTTTTATGGTTGTCATAAGGATCAAATGACATATTAAGTGTATAGACTTAGCACAATGCTTGACACATAGTGAGTTCAGTCAGTATTGGCTGCTGTCATTGTGATTGCTGTTATCATTGTCAACAGGTGTCCGTGGAGTTGAAGTCAAAGCTGAGCAGGGTCTGACATCCCACCTTGTCTCTGGTGCCCTTGACAAATGCCAAGTGACTTCATGCCATCACTGAGGGAGAGGCACCCAGGTGGCTTTGAATCTCGATGAGGGAGTGGAGTCAGCAGCTTTATCTCTCTTCTTTATTTCCTCTGCCTTCTCATAGAACTGGGGCTAGAGAGTGTGTGGAGGTCCAGGCAGTCCAGTTTCAAAAGGGCTATAGAAACAAGTAGTTTTTTTTTTTCTCGACTCTGTTTTCCTGACGAGGGAGGCCCTGCCTACCCCTCTCGATCTTCCAGCCCTTTGCTTTTCACCTCTTCCCACCTCCCTCACCCCAATTCCCATCTTCTCCTCCAGCCTTTCTTGGCCATTTAATTAGCGTGTTCATTCCCTTTGTCTGGCATTGCCATCGACCTTCTGTCGCTCAGGGCCCCTTCCCCCTCCTCTGTCTGCCCATGACCTCTTCCAGCAACTTTCCCACGGAAAAAGGAAGACCAGGGAGGCGGGAGGAGTGGGATGAAGAGAAAGGTTTGGGGGCAGGAACAAAAGATCCTGTGAATTATTCAGAGACAGAAGCAGGGGGTTTCTAAAGGGAAGCAAGAAGGGGTCTGCGCAGTGGAGGCGAGCGTCACCCGGTAGCCCCCTCCTCTAGAGTTGAGGATTCTCTGTCTCCAGCTAGGCCTCAATTGCCGTAGAGACGAGACCCTTGTCCTTCTGGAGGATTCCCTGGCTGGTGCATAACTCCGAGAAAAACACTTCTCGTCATGGTGCCTACAGAGATATCCTCCCTCCCCCAAACCCCCTTCCTCTGCTGCCTTGCCAGCTCTCTTCTTTTGTCTTAGTTTTATGTTTTAGCAACAGAAACAAAAACTTGGACCCTCCATGATGAGGAACAGCCCAACTGAATGGGGGCACGGGGTGTCTTCTGATTGGCCAAGATGTGGTTAGGACAGACAGTTTTGGCTGATGGAATTGCCGGAAGGATGTGAAATGCATGCCTGCCCTTGGGTTGCTGTTTTCTAGGAGAGCTCAGGCTTATGTAGCTGGGGCCACAGCAGGGCGTGACCAGCTGGAACTTCATGGGCTGTTCTCCAAGGTTTCCACCTTAACCAGTAATAGTGGGGGAGGTGTGGTCAGGTGTGGCCAACTCAACAGTCTCACATACTGCCCAGCACTCAACTTTATACCTGGATACCTATGAGCTCAAGAATCAGAAAATTGCAATATTTGCGCAGAAAAAGTCTTTATTCAGCCCAATGCCCCTTTTATACTTGGGAGATAAAAGCAGAAACAGTCACCCCAACTTGCACAGGGCTCAGCTGTTTGCACAGTTATTTGATCTAGTTCCTAAATCCTCATAGGGACCCCATAGGGCACACATTTAGGATGCCCTGTTCACAGCTGTGGTAACTCAGACATAGTCAACAAAACACAGAAAGGCTTTGTGGCTCTCCCAAAGGCAAAGCAGGTCCGCGCTGAGTGGGGCTAAAACAGAGACTCCCTGACACCAGTGCAGAGCCCCTTCCATTACACCATTCTGGATTTCACAAGCAAGTATCCCCCTTCTCCCCAGGCCCCTCCTTCCCAGATCCCAGTGACAAGCCCACCCGCCATGTCATTCCTCTCCTCAAGTGGCAGGGACATGGCATCTCTCCCACCTGTTGGCCCAGCAGTCTTCTTTTGTGTCCCAGGTCCACATGCAGGCCCTTCCCTCCCTCTCTCCAGACCTTGCCCGGGAGTTCTTGAGCTGCCTGAGATGTGTGGTGTTCTGGGGATTGGATTATTTCCTGGTTGACCAGATTGGGTGTGAAACCTGCCAGTCCAGTTTATGGGAACAAAGGTAGCTTTTGTCACCCAGATCACAGCGATTTATCAGCTGGAGTGGGGCGTCTGTAGATGGTGACGGAGAAGGCAGGTGCAGGGCTGGCCCTATGTGCCGCCCCCTGCTGGGGAGCTGGGAGCAGGACACAGGAAGCCAAGTCTTCCCAAGCCTTTCCAGAAAGAGCTGGGTGAGGAGAATCCGTGGTAAGTGGGGGACTTAGGACTTGGGTGTTCACCTTTGTGTTGTCTGCTATTCCTGATGCCGGGGGTCAGCAGTGACCACACAGCTCATGGCCTTTCTTCATGCACACATTATAATTGCCAGCATGTACAGAGTTCACCTTCTCCCAAGAATGGCTTCAACTGCTCACAGCATATAAACCTGTCTAATTCTTCTCTGGACTCTAATTCTAGAGTCCAGAATCAAGTCCATTCTTCTTTTCTTGGCCCAGTGGCCGTTGTTTCATGTTCAGCTTTCGCCTCCATCCTCCCATCCTGGTTTGATTTATCCCGGGGACAATTTCAAAGAAAAGTGGCTTCAGGTGTCCCAGGGAGACACAGACATTCCCATTCCCACATCTGTTCTTCCACATCCATTTCCCAGCATTGGTGTACATGTCGTCATCACTGGGGAGGCACAGAGGCCCAGGCAGCCTCAAAGTAGCTTGGAGCTGGGGAAGCACCTCCCTTATAGGCATGAGGGGCAGAGATGGACCCACTGCTGGCGTGGAGGTCCTGTTGCAGCTTCCCCATTCCTAGTGGTGGGTTTCATCATGACGCTGTCCGAGTTTCTGGTCTGTGTCTGCAGTGTGGGATGTACAAGGATTGCATAAACACATGAGCACGCCATAGTAAATGGGCTCTGGTGCCAGATTTCCTGGCTTAGCTGTATGATCTTACCAGGTTTCCTTAACCTCTCTGTGCCTCAATGTAGTTGTCTTTAACATGGGGTTAATAAGTATACCTCTTGCACAGGATGTTGGAGGTATTAGACAGGTTTATATACTGAGACCAGTTGGAGCCACTCTTGGGAAGAAGTGAGCTTTGTGTGTGTTGGCAATTATAACGTGGGTGAAGAAGGGCCATGAGCTGTGTGTTCGCTGCTGACCCCCAACATCAGGAATAGCGAACAACACAAAATAGGGCTCAATAAACACTTTCTGGATGGATAAATCAATAAATAAATATTATTTTTTTCTTCCTCTTGCTTTCCCAGCACCAACCTACCCCCATAGCACAGCTGCTGGTTTCGCAGGCTGTCTATGTCCTGGAGTCATCTGTGACCGGGTTAGCCTCTCCAAGCCCAGCTGCAGGAGCGTGGGTGGCAGAGGGGATGGTGCAAGACCCAGCCCCATGTGTCCCATATTTTCCAAGTCAGCGCTGTGGGAGGGCCGTGCCTTTCCCAAGCAGCTGTGCCATCTCCTCTCCAGCCTGGCTGGAGTTTCTGGAGAGAAGGACAGAAAGTGGAGGAGGCTTTGCCTAATATTTATATATGTCTCAGGGAAAAGGGGAAGTGACAGCTGTTCCAGCAGTGGTTCCAAATGTTTGGGGATTGCTACATCTGCATCCTCTCAGGAGCTTTGGGAAATACAGCTTCTTGTGCTCCGCAGGTGGAGATTCTGGCCTAGATCTGGGACTCCGTCCTTCTAAAAGCATCTTAGGTGACTCTTTTGTACACCCTGGTTTGAACTTGCTTTTTTATTTTTTCATTTCTTCAATAAATATCAATTGAATGCCTACTAGTGCCTGGCTCTGAACAAAACAGAGAAAGATATTTGCTTTTATAGAGCCTAGATTTTAGAAGGGGACAAAATAAGCAACCATTTCTTTTAAAGGATCCTAAGTAGAGCAGGAGTCCTGGCGTGGGATGGAGGGGTGGATAGCAATACTAAATCTGAGGGTCTCAGGAACCTCACCTGGTAGGTCTGAGTGAAGCCAGGACTGAAGGAGTTGTAGGAGGAAGCTAAGCAGTTGTCTGATAGAAGAGCAATTCAGGTACAGGGAACAGCATATGCAAAGGCTCTGAGGTAGGAGTGCACCTGGCATGTAGGAGGAGCAGCAAGAGCTGAACAGACAGCTAAATAACATGAGAAGAGGCAAGGGGCACAAGGGAACCTTGGTGGCAGTGTAGGCAGATCCAGGCTGTGTAGGCCTTGCCAGGACTTTAACTTTGACTCTGAGTGAACTGAGGAATCATAATTCTGAGGTTCTGGGTGGCAGAGTGACATGGTCTGACTTAGGTTTTGAAGATGCCACCTCCTGCCTGCTGCTGTGTTAAGCACTTACTGCATTTTGTTAGAATTAAATACTAGTCCAAATGACATTGTATCTGCTCTTTCCTTCCACAGGGTCCCCACAGTCCCAGTGAAGAACCTAAATGGCTCCAGTCCTGTCAACCCTGCCTTGGCAGGTGAGAGAAACTCTTACCTGGGTTAAGGTAGGATGCTCTGGGTTAAGGTAGAGAAACCAGGTCGTGAGCATTTGTGGGGAATAAAAGGAGAGAATCAGATATTAATGAAAGCAAATGGTGATTTTAGGAATTGCGTGGGAAGGCTATGAAGAGTTTGGAAGAGAACTGATCACTAAAAGCAAAGCATGCAATTGAAGATAAGTGAATGAATAACTTTCTGGGGAAAGTACAGGGTAGAGAATCCAGGAATTCTGAGAACTTTCTGCTGAAAAGGAAGAGAGTAGGTTAATGGGGAAAGAGGAATTTGGGGAGTGTTGACAGCTAAGTCTCCAGTCCTTCCTCACCCATGCCCTGCCCCTTCCAGGAATCACTGGGATCCTCATGAGTGCAGCGGGGCTGCCTGTGTGTCTCACCAGGCCACCAAAGCTGGTCCTACACCCACCCCCCGTCAGCAAGAGTGAAATAAAATCCATCCCAGGAGTTTCCAACACAAGCCGCAAGACCACCAAAAAACAAGCCAAGAAAGGTACTAGCCTCTTGTCTTATGGGATACTGAGAGTCGCAGACTTGGCTCTCAGCCCTGACTCTGCCTCCACCTCCAAGGGTCATAGCCACAGCTTAACCCTCTGTGCCTCAATTTCTGTATCTTCTAAGTGGGCCTAACCAGTAAATGTTGACGATTGTACAAAAGCTGATGGCATATGGATCAGATGGAAACACCTTGAGAAATAAAAATATTCAGTGCAAAAGTATAGAAGACTAAAAATATAAGATGTGGTACAAAGAAAATGTGTTAGAAGAGAAAGATGACTTTGACATTGGAACCAAAACATACTGGATTCAAATCATACCTTCGTTTCTTGCAAGTTGTGTGGCCACACGGAGCCCCTATTTTCTGATCTTTATAATGAAGTAAAAATGGTCACAACTGGTATCCAGGAGGGATATCCTGGAATGCATCAGTGACAGGAATCAGTCACTAACCTGTATCACCCTAGAACCTACAGATGCTCTGGTCACTCGAATCCTCCTTTAGGAACCCCCTCCTACCTGCACACAATCCAACAAGTAAGAGGTCAATATCTGTATCTTTCTAGCACTGCAGGACCCCAGCTTAGCTCTGTGGGTCTTTCTGGTCCCTTGCATTAGTTGTTAAAGTTGACCCATCTCTCTAAGCCGCAACCTTGCAAGCTTGTGAAGTTTAAATTGGATCATGTGTGTGTTGCCCTTAGCCCAGGGCCTGGCAAGAAATAGGCTCTTAATTAGTAGAAGCTTAATTCTTACAAGAGAAGCAGGGCAACAGGAGGAAAGGGCCTGCATCGAAGCTTCAGGCTGTTGCATGATCCACTTCCTCAAACCCTTGTCCTACTTTCCAGTCTATCAAGATTTCTCTGCGTAAATGAACTCAATTGCCTTGCTCATGGTCTTATCAGAAATAACAGCATTTTACACTTTCCCACTCTTCCTGTTATTATTAATAGTGCATATCAGGCCCTTATCTGGCAGAGAGCTAAAGGGCAGTACATCCATTTGCTCATTCAATTGTCAAAGCAACCCTTTGAGGTAGGTGCTATTGCTCATCCTCGTTTCATAGGTGAGGAAACAGAAGCTTAGAGAAATTAAAGGGAGTGGCCCAAGGTGGCACTGAACATTTTTCAGGCAGTATCGTCCCACCCTGTACCTTCAGGTTGGGCTGTCTTTTACAAGTCCAGTCCCCCAAAAAATCCCTAAATCATTGCAGCCCATCAGGGTGCTTCCCAGAGGATCACCCTCCCCCTGCAGCCGGGCTATGCCTGCTGGCAGTGACAGTGCCGTCCACAGCCAGGAAAGACTGTTCTGGAGCCGTGGATCATAACTTCCTTGTTTCCCATAAAAATAATCTCACTTTGACACCACATTATAAATTGAGACTATACTTAGCAAGCTGTAAAATGAAGGCGATGTTTATTTAACCTGTAACAGGTTTACAAAATGCTTTCATTTCTGTTATTGAATCATTTGATTGCAAGGAAGAAAAACCCACCCAACTCATCTCATTTAAAATGTGGGTCTGCTGAAAATAGGCAGAGAGATTTCAGAAAAGGGACTGCAAGGAGTAAAACCTTCTCGTCAAACCATCTCATTGCTTTCTACAATCCATACTCTCTTCCACATTCTTAACTTCAATTGCAGAAGGAATTCCTCCCTTTTTTGCTTTTGACTTGCCTTATAAGTTCCCCGTCTGCCATACCTGACGTGGCAAGCTGTATGATCTCTTACCTCTGCCTTGGTGGCCCACTGAACCTCCTGTCTCTACAGGTAAAACCCCAGAGGAAGTGCTAAAAAAATATCTGCAGAAAGTCCGGCACCCACCAGATGAGGTGAGTTCAGGTTAGGAGAGCGGGATTCACCTTCTCCATCACCCACAAGCATTCCCTCTGCCATTGTCAGTTTCTACGGGATATGGCAGGGGTTGCTTTCCAAGCTCTGATGGATACAGGACTGGTCAGAGCTGACACTGAGGCTGCAAGGTCCATGGTCTAGAGCTGCAGCTGCACCTCTCCCGCCTCCCCCTTCAGCATAGTGCTGATTGATTTTAGGCTATCTTCACATGGCAGTCTCTGTTTAAGAAAAACATTATAGGCCAGGTGCAGGGGCTCACGCCTGTAATCCCAGCACTTTGTGAGGCTGAGGCAGACAGATCACCAGAGATCAGGAGTTCGAGACCAGTGTGGACAGCATGGTAAAACTCTGTCTCTAATAAAAATACAAACATTAGCCAGGTGTGGTGGCGGGTGCCTATAATCCCAGTTACTTGGCAGGCTGAGGCAGGAGAATCGCTTGAGCCTAGAAGGCAAAGGTTGCAGTGAGCTGAGACTGTTCCATTGCTCTCCAGCCTGGGCAACAGAGCGAGACTCCTTATCCAAAAAAAAAAAAAAAAAAAAAAAAAAAAAAAAAAAAAAAAAAGAAAGAAAGAAAGAAAAAGGGAAAACAGTGAAAAGCTGTAAGAAGTCACCTTAAAATGGATTTATAACAGAACAGTGGTTCTCAACCAGAGGCAGTTTGGTCCCTGAGGGAAGATTTGGCCATGTTCAGAGACATTTTTGGTTGTCATGATTCACGGGAGAGGAGATGTCACCGGGGTCTTGTGAGTAGAGCAGAGGCCAGGGATGGCACTAACCACCCTACAATGCCCAGGACAGTCCTCACAGCAAAGAATCATCCTTCCCAAAATGTAAATAGTTCTGAGGTTTAGAAACCCCGTGGGACATTTATTTAAACAGCGATCTCTCTGGTACAGTTAAAATACAATTCCTTGACATTCCTTTACAAGTTCACCTTAAGTAAAGCTTGTCAGTGGGTCTGTCGACAGCATTTGTTTCCTCCACCAGCCGTTGGAGGACAAAACAGGACAGTGCATTGTCACAGCCCTCAAGATTGTGATAATTTAGATGATGAGTCCAAGTTCATCAGCACCAGGAATTATTTCAGGATGTTGTATAAAGTAAGACAAAATGATATTTAGATTCCAGAAAGCACATACACCCTGATTTGTGGGCTTTTTAGAAGAGAAGTGGCAACAGCTCATCCGACTTCTGAGATTGTGTGGGAATGTCCCAGGCTGGGTGAGAGCTGACAGCCTCTCTGCTGTGTCTCCCCGTCCCCAGGACTGCACCATCTGTATGGAACGCCTCACGGCCCCCTCAGGCTACAAGGGCCTGCAGCCTACGGTCAAGCCTGACCTAGTGGGGAAGCTGTCCAGGTGCGGCCACATCTACCACATCTACTGCTTGGTCGCTATGTACAACAATGGGAACAAGGTCAGTGCCAGCCTCTGGAGCTCCTGCCACCCTTCATACTGGGCTATGGAGTAGCAAGATCGTGAAGGCCCTAAAGGGCTCTGGGGAGTCCTAGAGGTACCCCTAGGCAAGAGTGATGATCTTGGCTATTCTCAGCAGGATCAGTTCTTCACTCAATTATGGTGCTGGTAAAACCCATCTTTACCTTCCCTTTTGGGCTGTGCTATCTAATTCTCTATGTTTGATGTCAGGTCTAAGAGGGGGGTGGGTTTTTGTCCATGGGGATTCTGAGGGGAGTGGCCCATTGTCATGGCCCATTGCTAGGTGAAGTGTGTCCCCATCAGTGAGAGAGATGGAAGTTCTTATCACAGCGCTAGACCCATGGTGAGTATTCATTCACAGCATTGTAAATGGGTTTTGCAATCACTTTTTCTTCTCCAGGGATAGTGATTTTCAACTATAATTTTCTTTGGACAATTTCAAAACACCCTTGACTGGCCTTTCAAAGATATTAAAGACTGTTGCCACAGTACACCTGGTAATATCTGCCCTAGAATGTTGGAAGAGGGGAAGGCTGTTTGGGATGCTTGTCTATTATCTGACAATGCAGTGATATCCCCTCATTAGAGCCAGTTCTTTGGAATCTGGAAGTCTCCATAGGTGACAATTATCTCCTTAAATGTCTGAGCATTTCGTATGTCATTGACTCATGCTCTTTCCTGTACCTGAGATAACTTTCACTCCCCATTTCCATGAATTTGAATACTACTTATTTCCCCAGGCTAAGCTTGGATTACCTTAGAGTCTGAGATATAACTATAGCTCCCAACCTCTCACTAAGCAAGAAGCATGTCTGGATTTCAGGGTCTGCTCTGTACGTCTCTTACGGTGGGAAAGAAGGAGAGGCAAGAGAGGTGGGAGACCTGAGCTTGAATCCCGGCTTATTAGCTGAATGACCTTGGGCAAGGTTTTCCAATCTCTTTGAGATTTCACTTTCCATCTGGAAAATGGAGATGAAAACCATACCTGCTTTATGGGGTGTTAGGTTATTATTATTCAAATTGATATGTCCTTTGTATTAAAGGCTATAATTTTTTCCTTCATCTTCATGTAGCCTATTTGATTGAAGTTCCCAAAGTACTTTCTTGTTGTCCTTGAGAGACAAGCTCATAGTGGTGGTCAGTTACTGATGGGGGATGCAAATCTGGATCACTTGCTCACTTTCCCAACCCTGGGCTAAAAGCTTTCATTGGCATCTTGCATTTCAAGAGGTTATTTTGGGCTTAAAGGGGTTTCTTAGCACATTTGTTCCCTATTTGATGTCTATATCCAAGAAGAGTACAGTAACCCTGCTTTTATTTCCGTGGGGCTTTCAAAAATGTTTCTCAACACTCTATGCTTTATTCTCTTTTGCATGAATACTTTGAAGCCTGAGTTTTAACTTTATCAAACACATGAGAGAAAAGGGCCCAGGAAGAAGGGAGTGATTCGCCCTAGGTCATGAAGCAAGTCAAGGCCAAAGCAGAGAGCAGGAGCGTGGTTTCAGAGAATAGTTGCCTGAATACGAGCTATTGCTTTAAGTGAGTAGAGTGGAGAAGTCCCTAAATAGCTCAGCAGAGGATCCCTGTCTTCCTGAGGAGATGGGGATGTCCTGGCAAGCTTTCATCCCAGCTGCGCAGCAGCACATTTCACACACAGCACTCCCAGCCCATGTGCCTTCCTTCTCTTCACCCCTCCTTTCTGCTAGCCTGGGAATAGGATTTGGTGCCCAGGTCCTCCTCCAGGCAGCACCTCACCAGGCCCTGCAATGAAACCATAACCCTGTCCATCCCTGCATCCAGAACTGCCTCTTCCCGCTAATGGAGCCACTGAGTTGCAATGCAAAGCGGGGGGGTTAAACAGACCTCACACCCTGACAAGCAGCAAGTCCTTTAATCTTGCTGTGCCTCAATTCCCCTCTCTCTAAAAAGGGGCTAATAATTTCTTCCAGGCCAGTGTCAGAAGCTGTGGCCTAAATGAAACAAGAAATGTTAAACTCTCTTTATAGTATGATTTGAAGCACTTTAATGAATGGCATCATTCTTTCTTCTAGGTATCTGTGCAGACGTTATCCTCTATCCTTCTAAGCAAATTCATAGCTATTCGTCAAGGACCATTTTCTTAAAGTTATCCTCATTTACTCTAGCTCTTAGTGGCCGATTTCTTTTTTCAGAGCAGTAGTTTCCAAACCTGGATGAGCATCAGTCTTTCCACAGAAATTATAAAAATGCTAATAACATTTAGATACACCACAAGCTAAAAGCTTCCTATGGATTATCTCATTTAATTCTCCCAACAACCCAATGAGACAGATATTTTTTATCTTTCTTCTGTAAGGGAAACTGAGACTCAAAGAAGTTAATTTGTCCAAGGTCACACAGCAGGCAGACAGCAGAGTTAAGAATTACGTCTAGGCAGTTTGATTTTCGCATTTGTGGTCTGAACTACTACACTCCGTAGCTTCCCAGTTCTGATTCAGTGGACCTGATGCGGCCAGGCTTAACAAGCTCTGTGGGTGATTCTGATGCTCAGGAACTGGGCAGTTGCTGCTCTCCTGGTCTTGCTGTCTGTTCCATCCATTTGGTAGTGGGTGGCTGAATAATGACTTCCTATGTATGCTCCTCTCAGTGTATGCTCCTGCCCTAGTGATATGGTCCCCTCATCAGGGACAGGGGCTTCTCTTACATATCCCTCAGCTTGGAGCATGGTACCAGTTGTGGAATTTACCTCCCGTTACTTTGGAGAAAGCAGAAATAGCCTAGGTGACTGGGCTGGAAGGGAAAAACTAAGATCTATCACTCATCAGGGTGCACCTTTATCTCTGGTACCTTTTGGGACTGGGTGAAGAAGTTATTAGCAGAACTGTTTCTCAGTCTGGCTCTTCTGGCCTTGGCCTCTCAGGATGGGAGTTTGCAGTGTCCAACTTGCAAGACCATTTATGGGGTGAAGACAGGCACCCAGCCTCCGGGGAAGATGGAGTACCACCTCATCCCCCACTCCTTGCCTGGCCACCCGGACTGCAAAACCATCCGGATCATCTACAGCATCCCCCCTGGCATTCAGGTGAGCCTTTCTCTTAGGTGGACCTTTCTCTCAGCCCTCGGATTCTATTGTTTTAGGTGTTTGTAGGTAAAATGTTACACATGAAGAGTCTCCTTCCCACACTTGTCCCCCATCTACCCAGCCTCACCCACTGACACCACATCCCTCAACTTCACCACCACTGTTCTGACTTTCCTATGGGTCCTTCCAGGATTCTTTGTGCATATGCAACAGAGAACTGTATCCACCCCTCCCATTTTTTTCACGAACAGTGACATTTAGGCACCTTGTTCAGCACCCTGCATTTTTCAATTAACAATATAGTCTATAGATCTCTCCACATCAGTATAGAGAGAGCTTCCTCGTTCTTGTGTCTGTGTAATCATCCATTGTATAAATGTACCACTATTTGCATTCAGCAGTCTCCATTTGGTGGGCATGTGGATTGTTGCCAATCTTTGTCTACAACAAATAATGCTGGAATGAATCACCTTGTACACATGTGAATGTGTCTGTAGAATAATTTTCCAAAAGTGGAATTTTTCAAATGGTATTTGCATTTGTAATTTGATAGCTATACTTGACTTTGATTTTGGAGGGCATTTCTTTCCTCTTTTGATTCTTTGAAAGTCCTGAAGAACACATTTGAACACTATTCCTGGCTAAATACAAATGTGGCACTTTCCTTCACACAATGAAGCTTTTTCTGAGTGTTCTAGGGCATTGACTGTATGCATTTCTTTAGCAAATATTAATTCATCTAGCCTCTTTTCCTTCTTCCTAGTTTTCTTCTTCCATTTTGTCTTTTATTTAACAAATATATGAGTGTGGATTACGGTCCAGACGTGTTCTAGATGCTGGAGAAGCAATGAGCAAAATAGACGCAGTCCTTGCTCCCTGAAGCCCTTATTCTAGTGGGACCAGGAAGGCCATAAAGGAAACAAATGAATAAACAAGATACTTCCAGATAGTGATAATTGGTGAGGAGGAAATAAAACAGGAAGCTTTGGTAGCCTTTAAAAAGCAGTGAATAAATCATGGTTCTTCCTGGAGGGACTTACTAACCAGTCAGGGGAAGATAAATGCATATTGCTAACAAAACCTATGAGATGCAATGTAGACAAAGTGAGAAAATAAGGCCTTCAAAGTCTGATGGACCTGAGTTTCACTTCCTGGCCGAGTCTTTATTAGCTGGTGCCTTCAGCCCAAGAGTCCCCAACCCTCAGGCCACCGAAGGGGCCACACAGCAGGAGGTGAGTGGTGGGCCAGCTGAGCTCTGCCTTCTGCCAGGTAAGTGGGGCATTAAATTCTCATAGGAGCACAAACTCTATTGTGAACTGTGCATGCTAGAGATCTAGGCATGCTCCTTGTGAGAATCTAATGCCTGATGATCTGTCACTGTCTCCCATCACCCCCAGATAGGACCATCTAGTTGCAGGAAAACAAGCTCAAGGCTCCCACTGGTCTTCATTAAGAATAATTATTTTAGACTAGATGTGGTGGCTCACGCCTGTAATCCCAGCACTTTGGGAGCCAAGGCAGGTGAATCACAAGGTCAGGAGATCGAGACCAGCCTGACCAACATGGTAAGACCCCATCTCTACTAAAAATACAAAAAAAAATTAGCCAAGCATGGTGGTGTGCCTGTAGTCCCAGCTACTTGGGAGGCTGAGGCAGGAGAATCGCTTGAACCTGGGAGGTGGAGGTTGCAATAAACCAAGATTGCACCACTGCACTTCAGCCTGGGTGAAAGAGTGAGACTCTGTCTCAAAAAATAATAATTATTATTATCTTATTATATATTACAATGTAATAATAAAAAGAAAGGGCACAATAAATGTAATGCTCTTGCATCATCCAAAAACCATACCCCACTCCCCTGGTTCATGGGGAAGTTGTCTTCCACAAAACCAGTCCCTGGTGCCAAAATGGTTGGAGACAGCTGTTTTAGGCAATAGTCCCTTGACATTTCTGAGTTTGGTTTCTTGACCTGTGCAGCCAGGAGCCCAAACGGCAGAGGTTTGGTGAGGATGGGAGATAACGTTTTTCTATGCATAGTGAAGGAAGGACACAGTACCAAGGTGCTCAATACCTGGTTGTCAACATTATTTGAGGTCCTGCTTGTCATGGGAAGGAGGGGGGGCTTATGTCTGTCTGTCTGTCTGTCTGGGAAGGTCAGAGGGGACTTTCAAGTGCAGGGAATTCTCTAGTTGAGTCTAGAAAGACATAAAGAAATGGGGGACAACATTTTTAGTGGGAGGAGGTAACACAGTTGTAGAGGAAAATAATCGAGTATTGAAGGGCATGAAGGAAGGGTTTAATTTGGGTCTCAAGACTTGCAAGGAAGTAGAGGGAGGGAGCATGAAGGAGGTGGAGGGAGAAGACTAGGCTGTGAGGGAGGTTGCAGCCAGATCACAGAAGGCCTTGAATACCAGGGCAGGGGCCGTGGATTTTACTCATCAGTTATTGAGTGTGAGGTTAAGAATATGGACCATTGTGTGATTTGAATTATGCTCTAGGAAGGCTAGTCAGGCAAAAGAGTGGGGGATGGCCAGAGGGAAGAAGACCAATTAAAAGACCACTGCCATGGTCCAGGCCCTAGGAATGGGGCCTGAACAAGGGAAGGCCAGGATAAGGAAGAGAGAGATGTGGTTGGATATGGGGTCAGGTGAGACTTCTGGAGTGTCTTGGAGGCAGTGAGCCAAGGTGATAGAGACATGAATGAAAAAACAGAACTTGGGAGAAGCAGCTGATGGTCTGGTGAGCAGTAGAACAGACCAAAACATGCAAAGACAAGGGTGGGGCTACCATTTCCTCCAGGATTAAAGAGCAGAGAGCCTACACTAGGGGATAGAGGTGGTGCATGCTGCCTTGATGGGTGCCCTGGTGGCTCTTCCTGAAAAACCCAAGCTCGTATCACGGGAAGTGTAGGTCTCTACAGTTAGGATATGCATTCATCCCTGAGTGTAAGTGGCAGGATACTCAGCGCCATGTTACTCAAGTTTCCAGGGACCACACAGGCATGGGCTTCTGTAAGGAGTCGAGACCTTCAAGCTCTGCATTCGCTGCAGAGAACCATTCCCTTGGGGAGAAACTCTGGGCTGGGCTGAGGCAGAGTCGTGACTGCTCCACTTAGCAACGAGCTGGGAGGGTACAGCCATGTTGGGTCAGTGCCAGGCAGGCATCTGAGTTGGCCACACAAGCGGCAATCCCAGGCAGATCAGGAGCAGTCAGAGCCATGGTTAGAATTGGCCTTTCAGTCAGGCAGCTTGATTTAGAAACAGCCGCAGCCATGGGAAGGCTGTAAATTTGCAGTGATTTCCTGTGAATGTGAAATTCATAACTGTTGGATTCTGCATCTCCGAGAAGGCATTGTTGCTTCTTTCAGCTCGCAGTGGCCTCTCCCTTCTGAGAGAGACCCCACCGCATTTACCGTGCCAAACCACACGTGATCTTGAATCATGTTAGCTATTTTAAAAAATTGAAAACCACAAAATTTCTTATCATTTTGGAACCATGGTCCCTAATAAGAGAAAAAGAAAAATCTGTTTTTTTCTTACAGTTTTCTCATTCATTTGTTCTTCCACACTCATTCATTTAATCAGCCAGGACATATTTGCTGATCACCTACATGAGAGCTTGTGTCAAGAGCTGCATGCAATTATCAATATTATACTGGTTGAATCTGGAAGGGGTCTTTTAAGAGGGTTCCAGTCCTGAGGAGGTCAGGGATGCTCAGAAATTAGAGACAAACCTTAGCATGGGGAAGAGGGGATATGGTCATTGTTACCAGGAGAAAATTTGTCACTTTTCATGAGCTTCTCAAAGACACCTGTGGACCCACTCTGGGCATTGATTAGGAAGCCTGTTCTCACTCAATTGTGCTTCAGTTTTTTTCTCACCCAGTGGCCAGAGCCTGCCTATTAATAGGGTATTGAGTGGCAATAGTTGAAATGCTGTTAGAAGATTTTTAGTCTTGACTATCCCAATTCCTATCGTTAAAAAGGAAAACAAACAAAACCCCATGAGGACGAAGGAGAAAATCCACAAGAATAGTTCAGAAAATTCTGATGGCATGGCTCATAGCCTGGAGGCACTTTCTTTATTCTGAGTAGTTAAAAATGTGGAGTGTGCCTCAGGAAACCTGGGATTCAATTTTAGCAAAACCACTAATATTACAGAAGCCACTTATCTTCTCTGCACTGCAGCCTTTTTCTTCTGTAAGACAGTAGATGATGAAGATGATGGCCAATGATTTTAACATTTACTGAGCTCTTACTACACATCAGGCACCGCTCACTTAACATTTATAACAACCCCATGAGGGAAGGACTTTGCGTCATTCCCCTTAAAGAGATGGAGAACAAAAACCCCAAGAGAGGGCTCCAGATAATGCAGTGCAAGGTAACAGCTCTGCATCTAAACCCACATCTAAGGATGCAGAAATGTGTTAAATGACCACTCACACTGCTTTTTGGGTCTATTCTCTGTTGAGGTTCTAGGAGCATTATTGTCATCATTATTGAAATTAGTCACAGCCTAACCCCCCTTTTATCAGAAATATTTTGAAAAATGCCATTTGCTTGCTTGCTTTCTGCTTTCAGGGACCAGAACACCCGAATCCTGGGAAGAGTTTTAGCGCCCGAGGCTTCCCACGACACTGTTACCTTCCAGACAGCGAGAAAGGGAGAAAAGTAAGTCTGGGGATTTCCACATAGAACTAGGTTTTAGAATAGATCCGGACAGTTGACTTCTACGTCAAGGTTCAAAGTTTTGCTTCTTACAGTGCACAGACCAAAGAGAACTGTGTTTCTTTTAACACTAGATGTACACAGTAACAAGGTCAAATTTGAGTCAACCATAGGCAGGGGGTGGCTATGACTAGAATTTTTTTTTTTTTTTTTGGCAGTTGGGGTGGGAGTGGGACATTTAGTTTGTGTATTAGTCTGCTAATAAAGACATAAATGAAACTGGGTAATTTATGAAGGAAAGAGGTTTAACTGACTCACAGTTCCACATGGCTGGGAAGTCCTCACAATCATGGCAGAAGATGAAAGGCAAGTCTTACATGGCAACAGTCAAGAGAGATTGAGAGCCAAGTGAAAGGGGAAACCCATTATAAAACCATCAGATCTTGTGACACTTATTCACCACCAAGAGAACAGTATGGGGGAAACCACCCCCATGATTCAGTTATCTCCCACTGAGTCCCTCCCACAGCGTGTGGGAATTATGGGAGCTACAATTCGAGATGAGGTTTTGGTGGGGACACAGCCAAACCATATCAGTTTGTTTGTTTCCTCTCTAGGGTATTACTGGCAATAATTCATCTATTTTAAGATCCTGTGTCTAGAGCCCTGCTGCTTAAAGGCTGGTCCTGGGACCAGCACCAGTAGTACCACATAGGAGCTTGATAGAAATGAAGAATCAGAAGCTACGTCATCTTAATGAGATGCATAGCTGATCTGACAACACATTAAAGCTTTAGAACCACTGGTCTGGGGCAGGGATCTTAATATGTAGATTATTTTCTTTTTATGTACTTTCATATTATTTGACTTTTTCCCTTTTGGGAAAAGTTTCTGCTCTTTTCTCAAAAGGACAGAGAAAACAATCATTGGGTTTCTGGATTCCTAGTGATTCATGATCAGGCTTCCATGATTCTATGAACTCTAAAATTGGAATAAAAAGTTTATGTTTGTATTTCTATGGATGAGGCCAGAAAATCATTGGATTTTCAAAATCTTTCCTGATCTCAAAAGGAGTAGGAATCATTGATCTAAGGGAGTGCTGGGGGGAATATTGGACAAGATGTATTTTAGAGAGCTTCCTCTCCAAATTTCAGCAGCTTACTCCGACAAGTATTTATTTGTCATGTACTTTGCATGTCAGTAGCTATGGCTATGTTGTTGCTATGGGTCAGTGTCTTAGTCTGTTCTAGCTGCTGTAACACAGCGCTGTAGACAAGGTGGCTTATAAACAACAGACACTTATTTCTCACAATTCTGGAGCCTGGGAAGTCCAAGATCAAGGTGCTGGCAGATTTGGTGTCTGGCTAGGACTTGTTTATATGAACCCATCCTGGTTCATAGATGGTGCCTGCTCACTGTGTCCCCACATGGGGCAAGGGGTTTCTCGGGCCCTCTTTTATAAGGGCACTAATGTCATCCATTAGGGTTCTGCTGTTCTGACCTAATCACCTCTCCAAGGCCTCACCTTCTAATACTGTCACCTTCGGGGTGAGGATTCCAACATAGGAATTTGGTGAGGACACATATTCAGACCATAGCAGCAGCTTCAGTTGGCTCTATGTGTCTTCCTGTTCTACAGCTTCAGTTGGCTCTATGTGTCTTCCTGTTCTAGAGCCCAGGTGGAAGGAGCAGCCCTTCTCTGCTCCATGCCCTTCCCATGGAAGGAGGCGGAGGACAAACAGAGAACCCAATTGGAAGTATATCATGCCATCTAAAAGTTCCTGGTTGCTTGTTACTTTCACTCATCCTTCACAGGCCCCAAAAAGTCCTAGGCAAGCCAGACAAGGGGTGGGGCAGTGACCTGCCTACAAGGAGGCAGTTTGGGTTTCATGTCAAAGGGTATGGATCTGGTCTCCCTACAGGTGGGAAGCAGGTGTTTTGGAGGAAATAGAGAATCAACCACATCGAGATGTGCCAGTGCAGTGTTTCCAGATTAAAAGTTGGGACAATTCTTGATACTGTTTGCCTTGAAGGGCCAGATTTCTGTGCTTGAGCCCTGGAGCTATATCCCAACTGTTGGCAAAATGTCTCCGCTGCAAAGTCCTGCAGTTACAACTAGAATCCTGTTGTCAAGAGCTGCTTTTCTTCCAGGCCTCCCTCTTTATATTAATGACATACTCAGCATCCCTGGTACCTAGATGGGCACACTAACCTTCTTGGACTCCTGTTCTTACCCATTGCATCCGTTTAGCTCATTCCTCCCCACACACTCACTGCCTTCCAAACCACTAGACTCCTCTTCTAACCCTGCCACCACCAAAGTATATAAGACTTCTTCATCTTTTATCTGCTGCCAGATTAGGTATCTCAAAGAGTTTTTAGAATCAAGGTTTTTGTGTGTAAAAGAAATAAAACAAAGAGATAACAAAGTGCAGTCTTCTTACATTGACATATAAAACCGACTGCAGTGTGGGTTAAACTTTCTCCTCACACTAATTTCCCATCCTTATCCTTCACATCTGCTGTTCCAGTACGCTAACCTTGGGCTTCATTGTAGATTGAGGTATGATTGGAGGATAGGCTTTGGAGCCAGACCAGCCTGGGTTCAAGTCCCATTTCTGTCATTTACTAGCTGTGGGAACTGGCATGAAACTTCATGTCTTGAAGTCTGTTTCCTAATCTGTAAAATAGTGGTGATAATTTCCATCTGTATGGACAAGATGTTGGAAAAATGAAATGAAAATATCTTTTGTAAAATGCACAGCATAGAGACAGCAATTGTAATTTATCCATGCCTTGAGTTTATATTTGTTTACTATGTCTACGCATTCTTCTCTATTGACATACCTCAAATCCTTCCCTTCCCTTCCTTTACTACTCAGCTCAGAAGCAGCCTCCTCCATGAATTCTATACTGATTCCTATCTGGGAGTCAACAGAGTGGTGATTCAGACCATGAGCTATGGAGTCAGGCAGTCCTGAAATCAGTCCCCTAACCCCACAACCCCATCCACTTACTAGCTATGAGACCAAAGCAAGTCTTTATCTTTTGAGCCTCTATTTCCTTGAGGGGGATAATGAGAGTACAGTTATTTGTCATTTAATGACAGGGATATAATTATCATTAGACAGCTTCATCATCATACAAACATCACAGAGTGTACTTACACAAAACTAGATGGTATAGCCTATTACACACCTAGGCAATATGGTATAGCAAATTGCTTCTAGACTACAAGCTTGTACACCATGTTATTGTACTGAATACTATAGGTAGTTGTATAATGGTAAGTATTTGTGAATCTAAACATACCTAAACATTGAAAAGGTATAGTAAAAATGCAGTATAAAAGATAAAAGTGGTATATCTGTATAGGGCACTTACCATGAATGGTACTTGCAGGACTGGAAATTGTTTTGGGTGAATTAGTGAGTGAGTGTGAAGGCCTAGGACATTGCCGTACATTACTAAAGACTTTGTGAACACTGTACTCTTAAACTACACTAAATTTACATAAAACTACTTTTCTTTCTTCAATAATAAACTAAGCTTAGCTTATTGTGACTTCCCCATTTATAAACCTTTTAATTTTTTTTAACTTTTGACTTGTTTGTAACAACACAGCTTAAAACAGAAACATATTGTTCAGCCATAGAAAAATATTTTCTTTAATTCTTATTCTATAAGCTATTTTATTTTTAAAACTTTATTTTTTTTTATTTTTACTTTTGAAACTTTTTATTTAAAATTAACACATGAACATATACATTAGCCTTGACCTACTCCGGGCAGAATCATCAGCATCACTGTCTCTCACCTCCAAATCTTATCCCGCTGGAAGGCCTTGGGACGAATAACAGGAATGGAGCTGTCATCTCTTATGATAACAATGCCTTCTTCTAGAATACCTCCTGAAGAAATTCCCTGAGGCTGTTTTACAGTTAACGTTTTCTCAATAAGTAGGCATGCACTCTACAATAATGATTAAAAGTACAGCATAGTTAAGTGGTAGAGCAATAGGAATTTCTCAGCTCTATTGTAATCTAATGAGATCACTATCGCATATGTGTTTAGTCATTGACCAAAATGTCACTACGTGGCACATGGCCATACCTATATCATCTTATTACTGTAACGATTACATGTCTCATTGCCCAGCACTTAGAAAGTACACACTCAGGAAATAGCAGCTCATATTTCTAATGTCTGCTTTTATTATTACTAATACTATGATGGTTTCCTCTCCTCCAGCCCATACCATGTTTATAGTAGTTCAGTTTTGAACCCAAGACATTTTTATTGGATGCTTTTTCTTCATGCTGGACACTACTCTGACCAAGGCCTGGAACAGGGCATTAGGCATTAGTCTTGCTCAACAAACATTTTTAAAATTTAACTGATTTAGAACATTCTACAGGCCCCAAAACTTTCTTTGAGCCTCAGTTTTCTCACCTACAGAAAATCAAAGTGCTCCAAGATGTCACTAGAGAAATATTGCACAACGTCAGCTTTGGATAAATTAATACTACATTGAGGTAGTGGTATGGTAATGAATCTCAGATCATAAGCGCCTTCACCTCCTAGATTCTATCTTTCAAAATGCAGCCATTATGTTAGCAGATAACATTTATCAAGTAGTGCGTTGTAGGCACTGGTGTGAAAATACTTTTCATGTAGTACCCAGTAAGATGTTCACAACCTTCAGAGGCAAATTGTACCATTGCCATTTCATAAATAAGAAAGTTAAAGTTCAGAGACATGCTATAACTTCTCCAAGGTCACACAGTTATTCAGTGACAGCGCCAGAGCTCAGCCTCTAGCTCCCAAACTCCAAATCCAAATCTCTTTCTTTCCCTTGGGCTACTGAGAGCATCATGATGCAGGAAGGGATGGGACCCTTGGGCTTACTCTCTACCAAAGGATTAGTGCTTGATCGCCCATGAATGCCTGCCTTTCATGTCCCACCTTTGTCCCTCTAGGTTCTGAAGCTGCTGCTCGTGGCCTGGGATCGCCGCCTCATTTTTGCCATTGGCACCTCCAGCACCACGGGCGAGTCAGATACCGTCATCTGGAATGAGGTCCACCACAAGACAGAGTTTGGCTCTAATCTCACTGGCCACGGCTACCCAGATGCCAATTACCTGGATAATGTGCTGGCTGAACTGGCTGCCCAAGGCATCTCTGAGGACAGCACTGCCCAGGAGAAGGACTGAGGCGAGAAAAGCTTTGAGGTGGGAGGGGCTGTGGGGACTGCAGGACAGGAAGTGGGGAGAGTGAGTCAATGTAGAAGAAGTTGGTGTCGTGCCCTCCCAACTTTCTCACCTCCCCTCCTGTCCTGTGTCCATCCCTCGTCCCTCCCAACCACAGGGGGAGCCAGACTGAATAAAGCAACATCATTCATAAACCTCATCCACACAAAGGGAGATGGGATGAGGTCCATCCTGGGTCTGTTCCCATGGAGTTTTTGGTGCTGGGTAGGCAAGAATCCCCTCCCTACCCCACCTCCAAAGTAGGGGCATGGTCAGCACACCTGGGACCGTGGACGCAAATGCCCATGGACAGTGCCTGGGCATTTGGAAGCTGGGGTTTCTTGCCTCAGCCGGCTTCTTGCTACTTCCACTCTGCTTTGAGAGTGGAGTTTTTGCTATTCTCTCCTCCGCTGGAGGCAGGGAGCTCTCACTGTGCAAGGTTGGGGGACAAAGGGGTAAACCACTAAACTGCTGTGACATCAGAAACTGATGCCTTGGTGTAGAGTGAGGAAGCACGACTTCCCAAGAGGGTCAGAGAAGGAAAAGCCTCGGGGAGCACATTCTGCTCTCATCACAGCCCTTGGCTTCTCCAGGCCCTCCTCTCCTCCACACAGGTCTGACCTGTCCAAAGAGGCATCCGGTTCTCTCATGTGGATGAACGGACTCTGGCATTCTTCCTTGGGGGTGGCATCCCATGATGCTCTTTCTATCCCCTCTCTGATCAAACCAGAGCCTGAGTCCCACTGAGTATCTGAACTGTCCTCAGGGAGAGGAGCCCACAGCCTTCTTCCCAACTCATTCTAGACCAGCTCAAAGATTCCATGAGTTTCATCAAGTCACTGTGAGTGGAGCCCATGCTGGGCTCTGTGCCCTCTGTGTCTGTGCATGCGTGTGTGTGTGTGTGGGCGTGTGTGCATCGCTGGGCCAGCTTGATGGGAAGGCCCGTCATGTCCCTGCACTCTGTTTTGCAAGATGCCAAACCCCAGTTCTGATGGGGATCCAATAGTGAGGCTGTGGTCCTTCGACGTTCCTCACCTGTTGCTAACCTATCCCATAGTGAACTGAAACCCCAGTGGAGACAGAACTGTGCTTGGGGAGATGCCATGAGGTGAGGGCTGGACTCATCCTTTTATATTTCTTTTCAAGATTGGATCAGAGGTCATCTCCATCCAGTCTTGTTTCTATGAAGGCTTCAATCTGTTTCCATGCAAATTTGCTAATCAGAGCCCAGAGCTGCTGGGCTTCTCATCTCCCTCATCTATTATAGATTGACTTAGAGCAGGGAGGGAGCCTCTTTAGTTCATTTTTAGAGCAGGGAGGGAGCCTCTTTAGTTCATTTCTAATGGGGTTGGGACCACAATATGGTCTGGTCTAATCTGCACCTTGGTTGTGTCCCAAGACCCTATCTCCTCCCCAACATTCCTATTGCCTTTGGCTCCCAGTAAGGGATGAATTGGGGGCCAGGGAGGAGAAAAGGGGAGATCAAGAAGGGAAACCCAATTCCCCCTTTGAAAGTGGGTTCTTTGAACTATGTGTTTGGGGGAAGTTCCTCTGGATAATAATTTGAATTTATATACCTCAAGTTTTGGGGGTTTGACGTATATATATGCATATATATTTCATAATTTTTGGAAGGTTTTTGATGCTAGAAAAATGGAAACAAAAGAACCTTCAAAAATGGTACTTAGATGGGAACAGGAGGCCGAGCTTTTATAAAAGCCAGCAAGCCCCATAGCTGCTTGCTGTTAGGCCTCCAGCCATTTTGATGTTGGTGTGGACAGTGGATTCACCTGCCTGTCACCCAGTCCTATGGATGTGCTGGTGCTGAGCTTTTGCTCCCTTTCCAAATGGCTACAGGGACATTGATCAGCTCCACCAGAAGGAGCTCTGATGGGAGGAATCATTCTGCCATCCTTGTCCCTGTATCTCCTGTCAGCAGGCAGCCATTGTATCTCACCAGCCAATCAGGAGACTGGTCCCCAGCTTACTGCACCACACGGCAATTTCTTGCCACAGTTAGGGAAACACCTGAACTAAATGGAAGGGATATCCCTGCGGTGTTTAATGTCACACCCATGCCCTTTGTCAGGTTATCATGTACCAGAGATTACCTGGAGAGCCTCATGCCATCTCTGCCTTCAGCACACTGGTCAAGTATCTGCTGAGCTTATTGGCCACAAGGGTGCAGAAATAGGCCGAGGGTCCATGGGAAGAAAGACACAATGACGCAGTAGGAGGTGAAGAAGAAGAGAAGTTAGATTTTCACAATGGAAGAAGGCAGTGGGGAGAGACCAGTTTCCCCACATCAGGCAGAAGAAGGTTTAGGTGGGGAAGGGGGTGGCCAGGAGCAGAAGGAAGAGGACTCAAGATGGAAAGGGAGCCACTATGCCCATGGCAATACCACTTGGAGAGGTAGTCTTCATACCTTCAAGCCTTTGCCCCTAGGATTTGATTGTGTCTATGCCCCATTTCTTGTCCTCTGCTGATGCCCAGTAGGGGCTACCTCATCCTCGTGCTGTTCTTGTATAGCTTTCTGGGCTGTAGGGATGTTGAATTTCCTTTCTAACACTGTGCCAGGCAAAGCAGGGTGCATTCCTCTGCCCTTTCTCTTGTGCCAAAATGGAAAGGTAGGGTCTGGATTTCAGTGAAAACCCTGCCAGCCGAGCCCTGTGCATCCACTACCTTGACACAGGGCGTTTTCCCACCAGAAGCCCTGCTGTGCTCTCCTGGCCAAGGTAGGGGATTCCATGCCTTCCCTTTCATGGTCTTAGCACCAGCAGCCTAGTTTCTCCCTTCCTGAGTCTCCAGGGATGAGGAATTGGATTGGAGACAAACCTTGTCAGATGTTCATCACCTAAAAGGTTCATTGTGTATATGTGGCTGTGTGTGCCTTTTGTGTTTTCATTCTCTTCCCCTTTTTGTAAAATTTGGTCTTCTCTGTGGTTTTATACTTGGTCGAAAGTCCTCATCTTGGTATTGCACTGTTGTGTGCGTGAGAAAATTGGGGGAAGGCTTGTGTGGTACAAGAAAGGACCCCAACCCCTTTCCTTGTCTGTGGTCCCCAACATTAGATTGGGGGCTTCTGGGAGAGGCAGGTGAATGTCCTAAGTGAATTGTTCTGTTTGTAACTGGAGTGTTTTGAAGTCCTTGGTGTTGCTCTGTGAGAGGACATCGCCACCTGGTGCTCATGAGGTGTCTGTGCAGAACAATAAATGGCAAATGAACAACCACAAAATTGTTGCTGTTGTTGACCTTCTGCTTTTTGTATATAAGTGCACCTATCTGTGAGGGATTTGGGTTACCTCCCTGAGTCTGTAAGCAATCACAAGCCCTTCCACTGGGTGGGGGAAGTCCTCCCCCGCACCACCTAAAAAAACATTTTCAACATATTATCCACCCACACATTTGATCTGGCTAGACTCTTTGTTCACCTAAAGGAACAGACCACATGGCTGGGAAAATGAATAAGAGAACATGTGGGAGTTAAACCACCTTTAAAATCACGAATATTCACTTTTAAAGGTCCCTTCGCCTGACTACAATATAGTGTATGTTTAAATTGTTTCCAAGCTGTTTCTCAAATAAATGTTTAATATTAATCATCTCAAAACTGACAAGAACACAAAAATAAAATGCAAATGAAGAGCCACCCTTGTCACCCAAATCTGTGTCTATTTCTGGTAGTATGTGGAATGTGGTTTTCTTGGAAGCCAGGCTTGCTCTCCCCACTGACCCCAGCCTAAGACCGCCAGTTAGGAACCCAGGATTTAGAAGGTAGAGTTTGTCAACTTGTCCATCAGGGATCTGACTCCGCCAAATGGCTTGATGAATGCAAACGGCAAACTCCCATGATTTGACTTCATATGCATGAGCCATGGGCACAGAGTTCCTTAGTACATATTTTAATGCATATTTATGTGCAATCTTGTTAGTAGGAATATACATTTATAAAGAACTTTTCATTTCAATAGGCAGTTAGTGCATTAAAAGCCTGGGAATTGGGTGCTATATTTTGCCTTTCTGACTCAATAATCTTCAAAGAATTCATAGGAAAATCAGTATTTGCAGATAAGTGATTAGCTTGGCTAAAATGTACAAAACACCCAGAACCCACAAAACACTCAGAGGTTTAGGAGAATGTTTTAATGCTTAAGGGGCAGGGTTAAGTGAAGGGGTTACAGGAATCAGTGTTCCTGGCTGGGCAGTCAAGAGAGCATGGCTCAAATTCTGTGACTCAGTTCTCTGTGTCTCAGTTGGAAATGAATGCGTAACCTGGTTCTCACCTTCCCAACATGCTGTGATGCTTCAAACTCTGGGGAAGGGCCTCTTCTCAGCCCAAGATCTTGATTGTGAACATTAATGAAGAGAACAGTCATCCTCCACAAAATATAACTCCTTAATGACATATGATTCAGTGAATAAATAGTATCATTAAACAAATATTGTAGGGGGATCATAAAAGTAGTAAAGGTAATTACAATCAGGAGTGATTGGTATTAAAATTGAACACAGTCCCAACTATTGCCAGCTGAAGGTCATGCATCCTGCTAGATGCTCCAGGGCACTCAGTCTGGAACTGAAATAAACTTGAGGTGACCCCAAGGAGATAACACAAAGTGGTGCTAGATGCCTTTTTCAGTTCACTTGAAAACATGGATTTGATCATGTTAGCTCCCTCTCTGCTGGAATAAAAAAAGCAGGGTGCGTAATTGGTGTTATCTACT